AAGAAAGTTTATGGTAAGAAAAAGCCACAAAGTCTAAAATCAAGTTAATCATATACTATAATGAAGACTTATAATGATATTTAAGTTGAATATTAATAACTTAAATATTATTAAATCTAAAAATAAATCATAGATAAATTAGAACCTCGTCAATTATGAGTACTAGAAGCAAAAATTTTAAGTAATTGCTTAACATATTACATTTCATAAGGTTTTTTTAGAGTATAAATTAATATAAAATATATAATATGTCTAAAAAAATTTTACATTTAAATTAAATTAAATAAGCTTGAACAAAGATTAAATATTTAAAAATAATACTTCAAACTATTATCAAACGAATAATTGTTGAAAATAAACAAGATAATAATGTAAACATCATAATTTTATTTATCTTCATTTTTTTCTCATCTTTTATAGCATCCCCATTTTCTAATCTTCATATTTGTCACCTAAAGTACGCAAATTAAGCATGACCTAGAGTTCCCAATAGATCGATAAACAAAAAAATGAAAAAAAAAGGGGGGGGGAGAATTATTAATTTTTAAGGATAAAAATGATTAAAAATGGATCAAATTTACTTTAATTACAAACTTGAAAGTCCACAAACTATTGTTTTTCTCCAAAGCCAGGGGGGCCGCCACCGCCCCCTCCCCCCTGGTCATAACGTGGCTCCGCCACAGCCCACAGATCATGCCAGACAACATATTTTCTTAATTTACTTAAAAAAGTCCGCTTTGGATGCTCTGTTTGATCCAAATTTCTAATAATAATATAATATAATATAATACAGTATAACCCTATATGCTTTTCGTTTGATCTGATCTTGTTCTCTACTTTTCACCAAACCACGAACAATTCATTGCTCAAGGGTAAGACGAAGATCTTCTTCTTCCAATTTTATCTCATCGACAACAAGTGCAGTTAAATTCTAGTGAATCAGAGATGGAATATTCCAGCAGTGCGCAATCCACCGCCGTTTGCCATGTGGTGGCGATGCCGTTCCCCGGTCGCGGGCACATCAATCCCATGATGAACTTCTGCAAGTTACTCGCTTCAAGAAAACACGACGTCCTCATCACATTTGTCGTCACAGAAGAATGGCTAGGCTATATCGGTGCCGATCCCAAGCCCGACAACATACGCTTTGCAACGATACCTAACGTCATCCCACCGGAGCGGCTGAAAGCCGCTGACTTTCCTGTCTTCTACGAAGCGGTGATGACGAAAATGGAAGTCCCTTTTGAGCAGCTTCTTGACCGGCTTCACCCACCGGCAACTGCAATTTTAGGGGATATCGAGGTTCGGTGGGCAATTGGAGTTGGGAACCGAAGGAATATTTCGGTGGCCGCTTTTTGGACGATGTCCGCCACCGTACTATCCATGTTTCATCATTTTGATCTCCACATAAAGCACCACAATTCAACAGTCGATCTAATAGGTACTCTTTTTTTTTTCTTTTGGTCTCTAACATCCATATAACTGTCCGATTTATGTTTGATGAAATTACTGTTTGGTTTAATCAAACAGAAGAAGTGAATGAGATCGCCGGAGTTTCCTCAGATACGCTGGCAGACCTTCGAACTATTTTCAGACGAGACGACAGCCGAGTCTTACAGCTTGCCCTTGAATGCATCTCAGAGGTTCCCAGAGCACAGTATCTCCTCTTCACCTCAGTTTACGAGCTCGAACACCGAATCATCGACACCTTAAAAACAATTTACCCTTTTCCTATCTACACCATTGGCCCTGCGATTCCTTACTTAGAACTTAAAACCAAAATCAGCAATGAAGCTGAAAACTACTTACGCTGGTTAGATTCTCAACCTGAAGGTTCTGTCTTGTATATCTCGTTGGGAAGTTTTCTCTCAGTTTCAAGCACCCAGATGGAGGAAATCTTTGCCGGACTTCAGACCAGCGGCGTTCGGTTCCTGTGGGTGGCTCGTGGAGAAGCCTCCAAGTTGAAAGCTGATTATTGCTCTGGGGATATGGGGTTGGTGATTCCTTGGTGTGATCAATTGAAGGTGTTGTGTCATCAAGCAATTGGAGGTTTTTGGACACACTGTGGATGGAATTCCACTCTGGAAGCTGTTTACGCCGGCGTTCCGATGCTTACCTATCCTCTGTTTTTGGATCAAGATACTAACAGTAGGCAAATCGTGGAAGATTGGGGAATTGGATGCAGGGTGAAGAGGGAGGCCGGAGCTGAGAAATTGGTGACCGGAGAGGAAATTAGGGATGTTGTTGGGAGGTTTATGGATTCTGAAAGCAATGAAGGGAAGGAAATTAGAAGAAAAGCAACGGAATTTAGGGAAATATGTCACCTTGCCACAGCGAAAGATGGGTCTTCTGCAGCCAACCTTGATGCATTTATCAAAAACATTTCTTTATATTGAAACTGAAAATTTTCAATTTTTTTGAACATGCAACCATTTACTTTACTAGTAGGTTGCGAATTTGAGGCTCATAGACCTGATAGATACGATCTTCTCTAATTAATGGTATTGCTTAAAAAAGTTTTAGAATGAAATAAGGGTTTTTTCTTTTTTCTTTTTTTTGAGTAGTTAGATGGTTAGGAAGTTAATAGAGTTAGTTTGTTAGTAGCTGGAATTTTTTCAGGAAAGTGAACGTTACACCCCTCATTTGAGGCGCGCGACTATTAGGTTGCAAGTTGGTGGAGTTCACGACGCTAACAGAACTCAAAACCCTAATCTCCGCCTCACCCAAGCCCTAAAGCTTAGGGGGCAACCAATTGGGTCACATGCCTGGTTGGCGAAATAAGGGTTTTTTCTAACTCTAATGAGCATTAATTATATATTTATTTCTTAAACTATTGATTGATCAATTATTAAATTAAAATTATTGTTAGTGTTCAAAATAAAAGTAATTTTTTTTGTTCTAATACTACATGGTAAAAATCAAAAGATAAAAATATAGTTTTTTTCAACTTATGCTTTTAAGAATACATTAATAATATAAAATTACAAATAAAATTAATAATTTTAACAAAATTATTGGAGGTGATAACCTCGCCCCTGTTTTAAAATGAACTCCAATAATTAAGTGTTTTGGCTCTGCTTCCTTTTAAGAAAGGAACAATGAAAACATGCCTTGAACATGCTCAAGGGTATTTGGAATAGTTACTAATAGTAGATTATTGTTCAATTTAACTCCTTCCAAAAGCTTATGAAATTTAGGAGTATTAAAAAGAATAATTATTGTTGTTTTCAAAAAAAAATTGGTACATGTGGTTTTAAATATCTTATATTAGAAAAATAGATTTTCTTATCTCATTAATTATATTATTTGTAATTAAATTTATTCAAAATTTTATA